GGACATAGCAAAGCTGTAAAGGAATCGCAGGGACCCTTGTGTGAGTTCTAAAATTCCGAATCTTCACTGGCAGGAAAGGGAAGCTCAGAATTTCTAGCAGTTTTTTCTGTCAGGGATGGATGGTTCTGCTTTCGGAAACGGTATGCGAACAGACCTTAATAAATAGGAGAAAATGTATACATTTAAAACGTGCACACAATGGATGCAGATATTTGGGGAAATATGCATGGGTTTCATGCACAAAGAAAAAGCAGTGCTCCTCACCTTATCTGAGGTTTCGCAAGGGGCGGCATAGAAATGTTATAATAATAATAATAATAATAATAATAATAATAATAATAATAATAATAATAGTTAGAAATAGCTTTGAGCTGGAAGTTGGAGAACTTCAACAAGCTTGTGTTTGGCTGATTTGTATGTGTCTACTTTTTTAAGTTTAGTTCAGGAAAAAAATCAGAAACCAAGGTCTTGTTTTCTTGCATGTAATGTTTTCATTTACTTTGCATGTACTATAGCACATGATGTGATAATCCTGGCCCTGGATTGTACTCCTGCAAATCACAAGTGAGGGAATTCTGGGGCTGGATGCTTCTGTATGGAGGGAAAAGCAAATTTAAAAACACACTTAGAAGATGAGGGTGTCAGGAAGAAAGCCCTAGGCCTTTGCTCCCTAACACACTAGAGTATTTTTTTGACTGCAGAAGATTTTGTTTTGTACGGAAACATTCAATCTTGTGATTCCCCTACCTGTAATAAGACATGGCCACAGTATGGAGAAAAGTTTACCTCTTCATTTGAGGCCTCTGAACAAAGGAGCACTTAATTCAAGGGTCCTGATGCATAGCATGCAGCTACCTATATTTTTCCCTAAATCATAGGCTCGAGTGTGTGGGGATTACTGGGACTGCCCCACAAGTGGAGGGGAGAATTTTCTCTGTCCTGCTATCATCCAAATGACAACCACCCCCCCCCACCCCCATCTCACAATGCAGCTGCAAAACTTAGACATTTCCCATTAGCTCCAGGGGGAAGTTTTATTACATGGCTGCTAGCTATGCTGGGGGTGGGGATTTTTACAGATCACAGCTGAAGAAGGAAAAAATAAGCGATGTGTGTGGCAGTCCCAGCAATAATTCCACCCCTTGCACATATACAATTGAGTAAGAAACGGATATAGAACTGCATGCTACGCATTAAAAACGATGTGTCATTTGGTCACCTAACAATTGTACGTGTTTTTATTTTGCAATTCATCTCCCATTTTCCCTTAAGTAATCTATCCTCCTGTTGTATAACATTGCTGTGTCACGTGATGAACTCACATGCTGGTTGCTCGGAGCCATAATGAGCCCGTGGCACGCCTGGGCAGTTGAAACGTGAGGGGACGGAAGAGGTTTTGAAAGGGTGCTTTGTACGGTGTTAAGCACACAGCACAGAGTTGGAAACAGGTGCGCGAGTCAAAAGAGTGTTCTCCGCTTGGCGAAAAGAGGTTAAACTGCAGTCTTTCAAATCTGTCACATTACAGAAGGTTGTGTAACAAACAGACCTTTAGTAAAGTCGCCACCCGCTTCTGGAGCAGTTGTGTCTAACAGGTTGGAATTCAGGAGGTAAAGCTTTTCAAAGCATATTGATCTAATTGGGTGGGATCAGATTGGGTGCGAGCTGGGGAATTTATCAAAAGCTTACAAGCTTTTCTTGCACACGCATTTCTCGTACATTGCCAATCAGGGTGCAACACTTTTGTCTCCAGGACTGTTGCTGAATCAAGAAAGGGAAAGGGAAAGCTTCTGCTTGCTGGAAGTTCTTCTAGAAAATCCATGCGGTGGCAGGAAGACAGTATTTCAGTGACAGAACCCAGGTTTTGCATGCAGAAGGTCCATGGAATAAACAGTCTGACTTGACGTGTGCTCGCTTCCTATTTTCCTATGCATTTCAAGCTTTCTTAGGGGAACCATCTAGGAGAAGTACGTAAGACTGTGCTGGTAAATTCTTGGCTGGGTTAGCGGATTTGTAGAGATGTTGCTGCTGAAGGGGACCAGCAGTTGGAAAAGCAAAGGTCGCTGGATTTACAGGCTGGAGAGCAACCTGCAGCCTTGCCCCTTGGTCTTCCTTGGTTCAGAGTCACGAACCAAAAGGTGCTCCTCCTCAATTGGTAATTCGTAGGAAACAGCTCTGCGTCGCGATGACAGATAGTGAATGAGGACATTCATTTGATGGATCATAGAGTGTTAGAGCTGGAAGGGACCTCCAAGAACATCAACCAGGGTTACCCGGAACCTGACGAAAGGTGACTGGAGGTTCCATGAGGGAGTATGAAAATATACACACATGCACATGTTCACATGATTGCTTCTTTCAATAACCTTAATATCATAATCATAATCGATGCTTAATTTGATTGGAAACATGTGTGCCAGAACTGAAATAAATAGTGCACCGTAGTCGTTTTCGTTTTTTGTGGTAATGTGGGGCAAACGGAGGCAGACATGAATGTGGGGCTGGCACTGAATGGCTTGTCACACCGTCACGAAAGAAAGCTGCTCACGCTGCTGGTCTATATGGCAGTCATATTGTCTTGATCTTGCAATCAGCTTGTTGAATGTCCTCTTTGTTTGTAGATTTTTTTGGCAGCTTTGCTGCTGTTTGACCTGTGCAAAAAGCAAGCATGGTAAATTAAAGAAGTAAATTCCATTCTTTGTTTTAGTTTCAAAATTAACACTGTCTTAGCTGGTATTTTTCTTAGATTGCCTTGATTTAACATGGTTTTGGGTAACCATGCTGTTCAACATTATCAATATGTTTTCATATTGTAAATCTCAGTAATTAAGGTCAATTTACAACCTTTTTTACATTATATCTAGGGCCTATGTTTGTAATAATGTTTAGGCAAGGGTTTCCTGAGGCATCAAAGTCATTTCAAACCTCCTGTAGGTAAAAAGGCTGAGAAAGGCTGATCTAGACCAACACCTTGTCAAAGCAGGGAAGCAAAAGTTGCAGCAGCCCTGCTAGGCTCTGCTGAAGATACTACTAATGAAGGAAAGCCCAGCATCCTCCAAGGCCTTCTGTCCCAACGCCAAACAGCTTAAACACCGTCAGGATGGTCTTCTAATGTTTAGCCAAACTCCCCTTCCTTGTCATTGGAATTTGTTGGGTTGGTTTCTGTTTTCTGGAACAACAGCAAAGCAACTTGCTCCACTGCCCACATGACATCACAGCAAGAACTTGACGATGGGCATCATATTCTCCTTCTGATGGGCGTGCTGAGTGTCATCCGTACTGTGCCATGATTGGCAGTGCATTGCACTACCCAGAGGTGCCTCCAGTTTCCATTTATTCCATGGCAGAGCACAGCTTTTGTTTTTCTTTGCATCAGGGCCATAAGGGTGCAATCCAGATGCACTTGTCTGGGAATAAGACCAACCAAACTCACTTGCATGTATTTCTGAGAAGATATGCAAAAAATTGCCCTGTGCATTTACAAAGCAATTTTGTGGTCACATTACCACCCGAGCGGGAGGAGAGGAATATGCTGATTCTCCAGAGCTCTGTCCACAGAACACCCTTTCTATAAAAACCTGGGGTCTCAAACTCGCGGCCCACGGGCCAATTGCTGGGACAGGCGGGGCACAGGGGAGGGGCCCTGTGGCCTTCAAAGTGCCGGCGGTGCCTGGGCCGGCCGCAGGATGAGCGGCCCACCACCTCCGCTGTGGTGGAATACTGGATGTGGCCCAGCCTCACCCAGACTCTACTTCCAGCGGCCCCCAGGTAAGTTGAGTTTGAGACCCCTGATCTAAACCATAGGTCCTCAAACTACAACCTGCAGGCCGGATCCATCCCGCCATTCCCATTTATCCGGTCCACCGTAGAGGTTTTGGGCTTGCCACACGTGCGTGGCGAGGCGCCGGCTCGCTTGCAAGCAAGCAAGGACTTGATCATTTTGGACTCACTCGGAGAAGACGATCTCTGCGTGCGCACACCTGGCCCGCACCAGCCCATACCCCCCCTGCCCGCACCGCCTTGGCGGCCCATGCCCATCGCCAGCACCTTGGCCCCCTGTTCAAAAAGTTTGAGGACCCCTGATCTAAACTATCCCCATTTCTGGCAAGAAGGTGGGATACAGAAGTGCACTGAGATGTTGAAGAGCTATCTTGCTTCTTCTGTAGAAGCCAGTGAAGGGGCAGTTACAGTGACTATGTTGGCATAGATTTCCACTGCTTGTGAGCAGGTCTAAGAAATGATGGCATTCAGGATTCAACAGTGGTGTCCATGCCCTGCCTACAGTTTCTCATTTTCAGAGTTCTTTAGGTAGAACTTTGCTGGCAAACTGACTTGGCTAGCAGAGTCTTTCCCTTTTAGAAAAGGTGGTGGATCTGGACTTCTAGCCATGTCCTCTTTAATCTAATGCCCATTACCTGATGACCAAGTGAATATAGGATTGCACCCTTAGTATATTTAATACTTTATATATTAATTTTTAAAACGTTGCTACCTATTCCAACCCTTCTAGAAACAGATATTAGCAACTGATGTTTTGCTAATGGTGCTCATGTTTTGCGGTTAACATTATTGAATGGTATTTGTGGCAAAATGTTCTAGGAACAAAGAATGAAGGGAAAGAAAGTTAAATATGGGATCTAAAATCTAGTACACTGAGCAGGCAAATTACACAGCAAAGCTACAATAATCCAGAAACACTTTATTAAGGCACGGGGTTGTATTTTGCCCTGTGATGCAATTATGATTTGCAAATCACCAGATCTTCTTTTGAACTAAATTGTAGTGTTTTCTTTTAGAAAATGGAGGGAGGCCTGAAAGAAAACCACCTAATTGAGAGAAACATGACTAAAAAGTAAAATAGGTTCTGCCTGGCTGCAGTAAGAGTGGAGGTCTGTGCAGAATTGTAACACTGAAACTCCACTGAGCTTTTAGGTCAGAGCACTTGGTAAGTGCATGGAAACTATCGATGTTCTATAATTAAGTTATTTCTGTGCCTCCGACAGGGACAAATGCTAAACATGGACTGCGCTGTAAGGCGTGTAAACTGAGCATTCACCACAAATGCGCTGAGAGCATCGGACAGCAACGCTGCATGGGCAAACTGGTAAGCCAATATCTAACTGGACAACGACAAGCCAGACTGGGTAAGAAACACGATACAGCAGCCCCTCCGGCCAGCCATCTTCGTGGCAAATGAGTTAACGCACAAAGCAAGAGATTTTAATCATTTAGGAGGAAATACTTACGGGTGCAGGTAGAAGGACTGTGCTACCCCGAACACTCAGAAGCACAGCTAAAGGGTGCTTGCTTTCCCACGATGCTAGAGCAGGGCTAGAGTCAGAGGTCAGCACTGTTGGGCCCCTACCAAGGCCTCCGTTTCTGTAGGGGGGCATTGCTGACCCTGTAACCTGCTGGCCTTGCTCCTCTCTGTCACCATCCCTCCCTCAATATACAAGCAGTAATGAGATTGGCTGATTCAGCAGACTTCTCTTCTTGTCCCGCCCTCTTTCTCGGGGCAGCTGTGTGGGAATCTTGACCAAAGCCTGCCCTCATTTGGAGCCAAAAGGAAAGAGCTGAAAAGAGGTTTCTTCTCTTGCTTTTGAATCAGGGCAGAAGAACAACACAGTCGGCAGCGTTTAAACCTTTCTCCAGTGAGGGGCAGTCCCAAAATTCTCTTGCATTGCTACATCATATGCCATTTCCTTATTTTATTGAGTGACAGCGCAATAGCCCTTCTTCTATATGGTTATATCCCTGGGGCACCTGAAATGCAGTCATCTCTGTTCTTGAGAACAGGATGAGGTGGTCTTTTCTTAACTTTCTTATATAATTGGAAGCAATTCAACAGCAGAGCACAGGTTGCCAGATTTCCAGCATGCTTTTTTTTCTGTGCTAGTCGGGGACTGGCCTACTAAGATGACTTGCGATTACCTTTGATATTTCTTGCTAATAGCCATCCCTTGAATCATGACCTGAGATGAAGCACTTACTGCTAATGCACGGAATCTGCTTGGCATAATTAGTATCTTGTTAGTCGGTTTTCAGCTTCCTTATACTTTAAATGATCAAGTTAAGAACTTTTATGACATTAGACTTTTCAATCTTCCAATTCTGCCAGTATTTTTTCCTTTTATTGGCTCCTTTGTATTTATATGTTTTAAATGATGTTTTTGACACAATTGAGAGTAGAAGGAATGAAAAAGACAAGCTCTAGTGTGAAGGAAAGCTTCTAAGGCCTTTCAATTAAAAATGAAATATGAGTCTCCAAAATCTTATTATATATCCTTATGATCTGGATCCCATGGGAGTCTAGCAACAGGAAGACAGTTATTGGTCTGGTTCCTGCTTTGCTCAAGAAAGAACTAAGAAGGTTAGGAGGGGTGGGCTCCTTTTTCACTTCAGGGGCTGAATTCAGTTCCAGAGAAGCTCTTGGGACCATGTCAGCAGTCATAGGGACCGGAAATGAACTGAGCAGCACCCAAAACACCAGCCTGTTTTAGCTTAGAGCTCCTGCTGCCCAGTATCACTTCCCCGCCCCTGATAAAATCTCACTGCGTCAATGACTCTCATGATGTGCAGGGCACATGCTCATTATCTTTTCTTCTCTCCCTTCCTTCCTCTCACTCTCCCCTTCAGCCCAAAGGCTTCCGCCGTTACTACAGCTCTCCGCTACTCATTCATGAACAATTTGGCTGCATCAAAGAAGTGATGCCTATAGGTACGTTGGGGTGGCATTTTGTTGCATCTTTCCGTTCTGAAAACTGTGGTGAGAACTTCGTTTCGGTCCAGTTCAACAAATTTACCCAAATTCAGAAAATTCCCCATATTCAGGATAGAAATTGCACAAGATTTTAAAAGTGCAAATAAGGGAGAAAGCCTTATTTGCACTTAAAAGTCTTGGTTTGGATCATGGTGTGCTCAGCCATGGTATATGCTTAACAATGGTGTGTTTAATTCTAACGCACTTCTCATCTTTAACACCTATATGGCAGGTAGGCACTGCATTCTCAGTAAGAATTTACAAAAATGTGAAAGGTGTTTCATATTCAGGAGGAAACAAACCTGAGATTTTAAAAATTGGAGGGTGGGAAAAGTAAAACTGGCAGATTCACCAATACTTACCAGCAAGGTGGCTTAATCAAGATCTTGAACAAAAAGTGCTAAAGTGATGATTTCAAGTGAATGTAGAGATTATATGCTACAAAGCCAGGTGAAGTGGCTAGCCAGGTAACAAATTTCCAGCACCATTAAGAGTAGAAGACCGAATTGACCCCTGGGTTACCATTCATTGGAAGATTCTCCCTTTTTTTTCCTTCACTTTTACACTGAAATTGATAAGGCCTGCACAAAAGCTCTTATGCAGTGCTCATTAATTTCTATGGGGTATCCACAGGAGAACTTCCTGGTGAATTGTGATCCCTATAGATTAGTAGAAGAAGGCAGCTTTCCGCCACAGGCACCCAAATCTCTTGAACCATCCTTGGTTCAAGGAAAATCCAAAATGTATGGCAAGGTATGGGTTGCTTACATCTTGGCAAAGGTAAACATGGTTACTACATGTGTCCGCAAGCTGTAGGTCATCAGTGAGCTTTGTAAACTGAATCACCATTTGAACCTGGCTCTGGTCTGACATTCTTAACTACTATATCGGATTGGATGTCAGTTTAGTGGTCCTGGTTCCTGGATCAGAACATCTGTTATGGCCCTTACTCTGCACAAGACAAGTTAGTTTGCATCCTGAAAGGAACATTTATAATTCTGTATGAGGAAGGAAAGAACCGGTTGTGCTTTGGCTTTTGTCCCTGCTTATTTATGTTTCACTTCTTTTGCAGCGTGTGGCAATAAGGTTGACCCAGTCTATGAAACACTTCGCTTTGGGACTTCCTTGGCCCAGAAAACCAAGAAGGGCAGCACTGGGAGTAGTTCAGGTTCACCAAAGAGAAACTCTGTAATTATATTTTTTATTTTTGTCTTTAATGTGGTCTGAGCATCTCCATTCATAGTCACCCTGTCCAGTGTGGTCATAGTCCTAGAGTGCTGTCAATATATGACAAAATAACTTAAGCTAAACAGACAGATGCAGGCTCAGCTGTGCCCCAAGGAACCATATAATCTACATTTCAGTTTCAGAATATTGGGCAGGTTCACAAGTCATTCAGAGCCACCTTGAGCAGAAGCCCCCATGGTTTGGTGTTCACTCACTAACACTACAGACAATTCGCTACTCTGTGGCTTGTTTCCCCCAGTCTTGCTGGCAACTTCCGGTGTGTATTGAAGGCACTTTTGCAACTGAACCTCTCATTGTTATGGTCCCTGTGTCACCATCCTTTCAGCAATCAGATTGCTGGAGGTGTCAACTGTCAAAGGAAGTAAGGGAGAAATTGCACGAATCTCATTCCAACAGCAGTAAAATGGAGGGGGAAATTGTGCAGAATTCCTGGCAGTGGACATTCATTTGTGCAGGACTAAAAAAGAAAGAAAAATGCACACACACTCAGGAGACCCCCTGGTGTCCTTTCTTCTCATGCTTCAGGAGAAAGGGGTAGAAAGCACTGAGAAGAGATGAGGGAGGATGGTGGCATCACCAGCAAGATCAGAAGAAATGGTGTGTGGTGGGGAGCCATTCTCCATGGCCAGTTCTCTAGCCATTCCCAGCAACCCATAATGAACATGTCCTGCCAAGTTTGGACTTCACAAGAAGCTACCATGGTTTGAACAACTGTGCTGGGTTCCACACCATGATCAGCATGATAAGCCAGCTTGGCTGATAAGCCATGGTAGATTATCATGTCATTCACTGAGAAAGATGGACATCAGAAGGAATGGAGAGGCAAAGATGGGGAGTGACAGAGAGAGGGTTAGAACGGACAAGAGTTAGGTGAGATATGAAAATGTGAAGAAATGAATCAAAAGCATGGAGACTTCAGAGGTAAAACAAAAGCTCAGTAGAAACAAGGAATCTGAAGGAAAGAAGGAGAGGTAGCATCGTGTAGTTGTCCCTATATAAGAGAGTGGAGAAAATCTTTTAAGAACGCTGCACCTGCAGCTGGCTGAGGATGGTGAAATTAGTTTAGCAGCACTACCATCTGAAAAGTTCAGGTATGGTTTTGGAGCTTACTGCATTTCATCTGCAATAGAATATGGCTGGTATGATAAGCAAACAATGGGGGGAAAGGGCTGCAAGAGAAAGAAACAGAAATGGAACAGATGGGGAATCCTATTTTACAGATTTGATTTAGAACACTGATTTTCCACGAGAAAAACAGAGCCAGAACTATTTTTGATAATTACAGGGAAAACTAACAGTTGCTAAATACTTCCAATGCTGGCTTGACTATATGCTACACAGGTAGGGATGTGGATATGCCCAGCTCTTCCCCAAAACAATAAGGAGCTAATATAGGATTAGGATGCCACGGACAGTGCTCACGTCATGCCAGGAAGATGGCTGCTCCAACAGTTATTTGGCAGAAGGGCCAAAAGAATCTTGCAAACATAACCTCCCATCTCATCAGTGTTGTCCATGTGTTTAGCTCTTGGCATTTTGGTATCAGAGACATACACACAAGCTTAGTTTCTACTGGAGAAACAGTGTGGACAAGGGCTGACCTGGGCTCTCTTGAGACCATCAGGGTGGTAGCAACAGAAAGGAGTGACCATCAGACTACACGTGCCACAGAGCAAGGCCCTTGTCCATTTGGTCCAATGATTAACTGAATTTGTCTCTGACTTGAGTGGTTATGTATTGGCCGCAGTGGGTTGTGAACCTTGCTTATGTCAGGGTAGCTTATCTTGATGAGCAAGCCGGGCCTGGAAAATTCAGTGCAGTTGGGTAACCACAGACAAGCCCACCCTGGGCACACTTACTGTAGGAGAATGTGCAGTAAAAGTGGTGGTTTTGGTTTTTATTTTTTTCCTGTCTTTCGCAAATTGCACTGAAAGGTGGCCCTGATCAGAACAGGCTGGGAAGCCAGAAATATTTCACTCAAGGATACAAGAAGGGATATCAAGAACAAGGATACAAGAGGAGTTGTGCTGCAAAGGATCATGGGACATGTGCAGAGAGTGTGCTGGAGACTAAGGCGAACACAAGCTGCAACACATCTATCATCTATCAGGAATAACATGGATCCATGAGCAAAGAACCCACCCTCCATGGCTAATTTAGTGGGTGGCTTATGGTGACCTGCAAACCAGTCTACTGCATAAAGGATTTGTCCTGATCCCTGTACTGGGTTTCTTTAGCTTTCCCTACACTTGTGCATATAATGGTAGATTTCAATATAAACTATGCAAGACAAAGATAAGGTGCTTCTTCTGGGCTCTGCACTCATACTTTTCAGTCTCCCTTGAAGGTACATTTGAGAGATGAGCAGCAGAATAACACAAGGCATAAGACTGACAAGAAATCCCTCGGCGTTTCCCCAAGTGTAGTACTGAATATTGACATACAGGCATTCATTACAATTGCTCCCATCGCCAGTACGCCAAAGGATAGTCCAACCTTGCAGGGCCGCTGCATTGATCCATATCCTTTCTAGCTGAGTTGTCTCCATGTGGAGCTTGCCCTTTGTCAATCTAATGGGTCTTTATTGCCCATCAATATTGCAGCCAGTCCCCAAATGCTTTGCATTAGGACAGGAAACAATAGGTTGTTGCTGGTAGAATGACTGTGAGGGTACAGCTAGGCTCAAACCAGGCAGAGAATTGTGAGTGTGTAAGCACACAGGGGAAACTATATGTTGTTCGTGTCCCTGCTACTGAAACACCCCAGAGCTGTGTCCCTGGGAACCCTGGTTCCATTACACCACTGCAGCATACACTCAGCTTCACAGCACTGCCAATGTGCTACCGCTGCTGTTAAGGCATGAAGAGCCCCTTGGCCTGAAGAAGCATTCTATGCTGCTCCGAAGCTTGCACGTTCCTGAAGATAGGGCCTTTTATAAGCCAGCACCCGTATCTGTGTTGTGTTTCTGAAGCACAAGGCTAGCTTTGTTGAAATGTTGTGAGCCTTCCTTCTGGCTCCCGTAACGAACACAGGGCCCAGAATGTCCACAAATGTAATTATTTCTTGTCAGATTGTTAAAGTCGCGTGTTAAATAATAAATGATTACTCAAGCATGCAAAACATGAGCATATTGTCAGCTTGCCTTGAAATTTTGGTCAGATGGGGAGTGGGTGTAAGTATTGAACGCCAATATGTCGTAGGATTTACTCCTTGGCAAGTCAGGCTGTCAAGCAACAGCTTCCAAAGAAGTGTGCAGGACTCAGAGCTGTAGGTGCTGCAGAAGAACTCACAGGGACTTCAGTTGACTAGCAGATAGTCTTTGGGGGATGTGTGAGAGTCTAAGGCAAAGCAAACTACTGCGGGAAATGTGCGGGCTTTTTTCTCATATCCAGGACACACTCCCTTTCAGGTACATTCTTCAGGGGCATCAGGGTGGAAAAAAGGCACAAAAATCTGCGGCAAATTTCCACAGATTTTCTGCAGCAAACCAGCAATAGATTGTGTTGCTTCTGCAAGCAGTGAGCCGTGGAGCTGATGCCAAGCATGGCAAGGGCTCCGTGTTCCCATGGGCTCAGGTTACCCACTTCTGCTTCAAGGAACAATTTAGTTATTGCATTTATATCCCGCCTGTCCTCCAAAGAGCTCAAGCTAGCCTTCATGATTCTTCTCTCTTGCATCTACCCTGCAAAGGAGATTAAGTAAGTGTGGCACAGTGTTTGCCTGGGGACCTGGGAGATCTGGGTACTAGTCCCCACTTTGGGCCAGGCACAGGGTTGCTCTTGTGCAAAATAAGAATGAGAGGAGGAGGAGAATTACGAGCTTCTTGGAAGGAAAGAGATAGGATATAAATATAATAAATAGGAGAGAGACTGACCCTAAGTCATGCAGGAAGCATCATTCAAGGATCTGAGCAGGGATCTGAACCTGAATCTCCCTGGTCTGAGAGCTGTTCCAAACTGTCCATGTCCAAATGTTGCTACTTTAGACCTCTCAATAATACCTCTGCATGGTATACTACCCTTTTCCAGTAATGCTAGCCTGTTTGCCCCCATGGCTTCTTCCACCAATGTCCATATTAAGTCTAGCAGATTCAATCAACATTGGGGCTTGTTGGAAAGTACTCAGGCACCGGCCATTTCCCAAGGGCTAGTCAACCTGTACTATCACCATGACTAGAACCTTGCATGGTGAGTGATGGAGCTGTACAGATGAAGACGTGACTAGGATCCAGTCATGCTGATGGACTGGGCCCTTTAAAACCATGGGGACTTAGGTTAGCCATGACCGATGTACATCCCATGGATTTCAAGGTCCAAGACTAAATCTGTGTCCAACCCATTCTCCTAAGTCTGGCAATCTTGAGGAGCAAGTTAAACCCCGGCATATGCCCTTCATGAATACATCGTTGAACTTCAAGCTGGGGTGAAGGACCTTTGGCCCCAAGCACCATATCAGGTGCACATGAGCATGTGTTTGTGTGTGTGCATGCATTCAGACACAACACTCATTCCACACAACATCCCATCCTGCAGCAAAAACACTGCTGCAGGGAAGGAGGCAAAGCTGCAGGGGATGAGAGGAGCCCTTAAGCTTGCTCGCTTTCCAGGAATTCTGCTACAAGACTTTTGCGCTGGGGAGGAAGTTACAGGCTTTTCCTGGTGGCCACTTCCACTAGCACAGATCTAGTCCTAGCGAGCGATACACTGCCTATAAGAGCTACCAAGGATTACCCAACAAAGGCCTGGATTTCCCATGCTACCAGTGGGGTCTCCATGGCTCCACGGACTGCAGGTTGTGCACCCCAGCTTTAAGAGATGCAGTGTTTTCCTACCCCTTTGGTGCAGGGCTTTACTGCCTTTCCCATTCACATATATAGCTTAAAGCACTAAGCACCATATAGAACACAGAGGTGTATTTATACCATCCCAGGATCTTGGCAGGATCTCACTTCACGCATTCTTCCTGTCATAATGACAGCCTCTTTATTAGTAGCACAAGCGCTTGCAATCTGCTCCTTGCTGACAGTGGCCAAAATTATACATTGTGACCTGCACTGTTTCATGTAGGAGCTTCAGAAAGTCGTGATTTCCCTTGACTTCATTTTCCAGTCCTGCATAAATAGAAGGTCTTATTTATGCAGGTCTGCGGCTCCTTTCAGAAGTCCTGCTGTTCCCTCATCAAGTGTCCAAGTTCTTGGTAACCAGTTTATCATCAGCTTTGACTTTGCTTCCCGGTAGCCTCTAGGCCACCAGGAAGCTATGGCCATGTGCTTCGACATCTGGTGTGTTGATATCACCTTATTGCTCACTTTTACTCTCCTCTCCTCTTTCGCATTTCTTTCAGACATCAGATTTGGCAGAAGTTCCTGAGGAAGGTGACAGTCCAGGGAGTGTGCTTGACATAAACAGGAGGCGCAGCAATAGCGGTGGGTGTGAGGCTGAGATTTTCAACTTTCTTCAAACCACAGGGGTTATTTTCACCTCACTTTTTATTCTGACAGGAACATGCCATTCACAGCACACAAGTCCAAGCAGGTCCCAATGAGCAGTAAGTGCTACCAGTTCCCAAATAATATTGCATTATTGCCAGCTGTTAAGCATCCTCACAGGCCTCGCGCAGGAGGCTTGGAGGGGCAGGTGTCCACTCCCTGCTGTCTTCCCTGGGATGTGTTTTTTGCTTTTTTAATTGCTATCAGTTGGATCCAGAAGCTGCCACTCAAGAGAGAAATGAACCTTCTACAGGAAGGAAGGCTTTGCTTACAGAAATTCCTTCTACCCGATTTTCCCTGCACACACCACAGCTCAGTCCATTCAGCACAGCCTCCTGATTCTCTGATCTGGTTCACATACCATAGTGGGTTGTCACTATGGAGAGCGACCTAATCTAACCCCACTGTAGCTTTTTCACAGCAGGCCACGCTGAGAACCCATGGCTTGTAGCAAGCTTGTTTAGTGTGGTTTGTTCTCAGTGTGGGATCTTGTGATGTCCACATCCAACAGAGTGGCTTTAGCACGGGTTGGGTTGTTTCACCCACCTTACAGGAGTGGTAAAAACCTCCACTCCTTCACTAAAAATACCTCCTTTATTTCATCTTGAAATCTCCTTGGATATGTAAAAGAAAAAGAAAAGTTTAATTTGTGCAAGTCCCCCCAAAGGAAAAATAAAACAATTCTACACAAAATCTCTATGCCCCTGCTGAGGTTGCGTGCAAAGATCCGTGGAATACAAGCCAGGATAAGGCAGGAGGACTAAGGTGGAAACAAACCTTTGCAAACTACAGTTCACCTGATTCTCAGTCAGGAATCGTGTGGGTTAGCAAGCAACGCGTAGCTTATTTTCAGGGTGAATTATCATGGCATGCAAACTGGTTATAGCATTTTCAGGAGGCTGGAGGAAGAGGATCAGGGTAGCCCTCTTCCATTAGCCCAGCTGATGCCCCAACTCTAAATATTTTCTATGTGTTCTTCTTATTAATCTATTAATAAGACTTGCAGTACATTCACTAAGAGTCTTTCCTTTACAGACAGCAAATTATACTCCCCGTCAAATGCTTTCAGATTGCTATTTATTGTTGACCTGTTCTATATTAAAGAAGAACTGTTGTCCCAACAAACATCAACAGGACATTAACAATTCCTCCCTTTAGCATTGGCTTTCTTCACTGTTTTTCTGTCAAGTCAGTGCATAAATTATACAGGAATTGCTCCACAATGTTTCACCCTTGCTGTCGACACAAGCCATGCTAACGGTAAAGCTTTGACTATGTTCCTGGGGATCCTGTGTGGACTCTGGCATGCATATAGGTGGAAACAAAAGCAGGTCAAGGCTAATTGCCTGATTCAGTAGGGCTTAAGTTGAAGTTTTATATGTTAAGCCTATGCTGAAGTTTAGAATAGACGCATGGCAGAGGATCTGAACAGCATGTGCTGAACTTTGAGTGTAATTAAAAAATAAGCAAGTTCTTTTTTTAAGGACGACTTTTCTATAGCACTGATAGGATCAGCTCTCACAGTCCTCAGCCTATTATGAGTTAAAGTCTTTCTGTATGGATATATATACATCACAGCGGATGGTTTGACTATTTCAGCCGGAAAAGGCACTCCTCTATACGAGCAGAAGTTGCAAACTCTGCAAAGAAAATGTCAAAGCAAATATGAGAAAGTTAATGGAGTTATGATAAAGAAATATGCAAACAAATGAATTGCTTGTTTGGCACATGGATTCTGAATTCTAATTTTTCTTCCTCTTTGTTTATAGTGTTTACATACTCAGTAAATGGTACTACAGACTTTGGAGATGAACCGAAAAAAATAAACTCAGTACTACAGGTGACTTTTTAATGTAACTATAACAAACTTACAATTACATTTCCCATTCTTCTGAAGAGAGTTTATTTTATATGACAGTATAACGAGCTGGGTCTGCCTTTCCCGAGGCGTTTTGTACTCTGGTATGCATTGGCAAATGTGCATGTGCCATGCTAATATATAAGGGCACATGTTCCACAGACCAGCCTTTCCTCTGAAATACACAAATTTGGTGGCCCAAGCTTGTATGATTACTATATGCCCTTCATAATGGAAAGAGTTCAGTGACAATTTTGTATTCAAATATGAATTATCTATTATGATCCAAATGTACGCTAAGAAGTTAATTCTTATCTGTGGGTTGAATGGATATGGGAAATATGGTCAGAAGAGTTAAACCACCTGGAAGAGGTGACACCAAAGGAACTGTTTAACACTGGCAGAGACATTTTTTAAAGCTGAAGTCCCTTCAGCTACAAAGAAACTCAGTGCACATGGAAAAGCCTTACCTATAAAGCCTTCTATGACTTGGGACCACAGTACCTGTCAGAACTGCAGTCAGCTTCCAGGGCTTTCCTCCAAGTGTCAACTCCAAGGGAGGCTGGGAGGGTGGCAAAAAGGAGAGCCTTCTCTGTAGTGGCCCCCCATCTATGGGACAACCTCCACACTGCACCCCACCTGGGCCAACTTTGTCATCTTTTCAGCTCCAGGTTAGGACAGCCCTTTCTAACAACTCTTTAAAAGATGCACTTGGTTACTCAGAGCTTGAGGGGATTACCCATTCCAAGTGTTTTCTCTTACAGGGTTAGTCTTTACAGTATGTTTTAGGTGTTTTAAATGTTTATCGTTTTTATAGTGTTTGTATTGTATTTTATTGCCAAGGCAATGAATGGTAGTAGTGATAGTAAAAGGATTTTCAGAAGTGCAGAATAGTAATGGCACAAACCACCTACTGATGACCTTGCAAGAGCCCACATAGCTCTTTCAAACCGGTTTGTTCCTCTTCCTCCGGGATGGGCAGAGATGCTGTGGGAAAGACCAAAGCTGCAGGCTGCATCCATGCTGTTCCTTCACTCATCCAAACCACTGGGCAGCCTGAGACTGAGAAAACAGCTCCTATGCAGCCGTGGGTGCCCAGGTGTGGCACCTCATTTATGTCCATCATAAAGTAGCTCAGCAGTCTAGAGCAGCTTTCCCCAAACAGGTGCACTCCAGGTGCATTGGATCTCAGTAGCTATGTATGCGCTCCCCAGAGAGGTCCGCCTGGCGCCGTCGTTATTTGTTTTTCGGCGCCAGGTGAAGACCTTTTTATTTAAACGTCATTTTAATTGTTAATATTATTTGCTTATTTTATCTGGCCAGGGCGACTTATTTTATATTGTTAATTTGTTTTATATTTTGAATGTATTATATTTTAATTTTATGTTGTGAGCCGCCCCGAAGCTTCGGCAAATGGGGCGGCATAGAAATGTTTTAAATAAATAAATAAAAATAAATGTAGGTAGGGGATGATGGGGATTATAGTCCACAGGGCACCCGGTTGGGGAGGCATGCCTGCTCCATGGCTACACATGGTTACACAGAGCCGAGTGGCATAGCCCTAAAAGCAGGAGACTCATGACCTTTCTTTTAGAATCAGTCGTCCATTTTATCCATGCCACTGGCCTGAGTTCAACAGTCCAAGCCATGCAGCAGATTCAGAACAAGCATGGCTATTGTCCCACATTGTTCTTCAAAGAAAAAAAATACCCTACTTAAGAGCCGCAACTCATTTTCAGTGTACGCTGGCTTGAATTCTAATCAGGCGGAGGCAATCTGGTCCCCTCCAGACATTTAGGACTACAACTCCAGCGATTATGGGAGTTGATCTGCAGAGCTCCAGATTGCCTCCCTCTGACCTACAGCTGTACAAAATAGCTTTTACTAAATAGCTGCTAATATTCCTCTTCTTTTTTTAATCCTCTGTCCTGAAGGGATCTCTTAATAAAGACACAGTACAGATGAATACCTATGTTGCCTTGTACAAATTTGTACCACAAGAGAATGAAGATTTGGAAATGAGGTAAAGTTATTGTGCACTCAAGTATACGTTTTATAGAAATTAGGGATAATGCATCTCACACTTGTCCATCACAGGGATGTTCGTACACATCCAGAAAGAGCAAGGTAGCATCAATTTTTGTAGCTCTAGAGATTCCACCATCAAACCTGGTCAAATAATTCCAAAAAGAGGAAAAAGGGATCTGGACAACCACACAACATTATGTGACATGAATGGATTAGTCATTGTTGACATAAAAATAAAGTTGTTTAAAAAGAAAGTTTGTTCTGTGGGAATCAAGAATAAATGTAACTCAAGAATAAATGACTCAGGCATCTTCATCCCAAGTGAGCATGAGTGGGTCAACAAGGGGCTTGTTTTGTGATTTGGTTCCATGCCCCAAAGGCTAGGCAACACCAATTGTAGGTGCATATCAGTAGCCCAACTGCCTTTTTAAAAAAGGCAGGGAGAGTCTTTCAGGAGATGATCAGGATCAGAAAAGCAGTGGGTGCTGAAGCCCCTTTCCATTCTTTGTTCCCCCAGTGCCATTCCCCTGGCAGGAGTTCCTCCAAATGAGGAATGCATGCGAACCCTCTCTCCCTCTCCTCCTGCCGATTTGGCAGAGACAGTTTCCCTCTCCCAAAGAGCCACATGGCTGTCCTCATGTGGGTTTGTGTTTGATGCACTTTTGGGGCCAAACATGGAGAGGTCTTCCTATTCAGGGCTGGAGCCAGCCGGTGAATCACCCTGCAACTCCTCGGCATCAACTGCTGAGCCGTCGTTGCCACCGCCCACCTGGTCCTGCCACTTCATCGCCCCTTCCATGGCAGTTGCCACCTCCTGACCAGCTGGAGCAGCAAAAGATGGGCTGAAACAAAACACGACTTGGGGTTGCCTAGTAACGAAGTCCATGCCTTCTCCTGGCCTTCCATGAAATTGGTTCCATGTCAGATCTGTGACCTTTGTACTTCGCTGGCCCTTTTGGTTGACTTAAGGCCCAACTATGAGTCTGTTTTAAGTATGACTAAATCAGGATCCAATCCACAGGTTCCATTGATGAAGGACATCTTACCCCAGCTGCCAGTAGCAATACTGTCACTCACAGTATAGAGAGATGGATAAGATGGTTTTAAGTTAGCCATGATGTAACTATGATTAAATCAGGATCAATCCTAATCATCATTGTTATATGTCTGTGTGAAGTTGACATTAACTTTCTTCTACCATTGTGCTGCAGTACACTTCTTTTTACTTTCCAGGTTTCCAGCTGTGCTTTTCCCTGGGAATAAAGAAATTATGTGGGACATAAATGACAGAATGTCCTCACCAATTTGCTTACCTGGCAGCACAGACCTAATCTCGATAAAATGCAGGGTCATGTAAGGCATGTTATTGCCATTCCAAGGGGTTTTTTTAACCAAAAGGAATTACTTTGATTTCCTTCCTAGATAAAGTTCCATTTAGCAGCCTGTAAATAGTATTGCATTATGGGTACTGTCTGAAATGACACAGAAAAACAGAAAATTTAGTCCCAGAAGCTAATAAGAACAGCAAAATAGCACCCAATTCAACTCAAACTAGTTTGGAGTCCTACTGAAAGCAACTAGGCTGAAGTCAGTTGCGGCCAACTTGTTCCACTGGCTTCAGGACAGGCTTTCGCTAGATCAAGGTCAGTAGGTTTAACATTCCTGTGATATTAATTCGCCAAACATTATAAGGAACCATATGTTTCCACAAGGGATTTCAGTGGACTTCAGAAATTGTAGTATTCACTGGTGACATTGCACATTAAACTCACCATTCCCGATCTTTCTGTTTTCTCATTATAGGCCAGGAGATAGGATCACACTTTTGGAAGATTCAAATGAAGACTGGTGGAAGGTACAGTGCTCTAAGTGACATGGAAAGATGGGGGCAGGGCGGGCAGGAATACAGCAGTACAGTTTACACTTAGGTGTGGCACACACTTGTAGCCCAATGGCAATGGAGTAGCAGTTTCTAGACTGGAGAGCTCAGGTGTGAGAGGGCACATGCTTCCTTGGGCAGATACTCTAGAGCTGCTCTCTGGCATTCCTCATGTGGCACAGCAAGGCTGGGAAAGAGGCATTGGTGGGGGAGAGGGAGGACAGATTGTATTTAATGCTGCTGGCAGGTTCGCCAGCAGCATTTTGTACCACATCCCTTGGAAACAGCCCTATCCCTCTAGCATCGCCGCACCTCTGCTAGCAAATTTCTGCAGCCAACCAAGGGCTTTTCCCTTATTTCTCAGGGGAGGGTGCTGCTGCAGCACGGCATGAGAAAGTACCATGAAGCTATCAAGTGGTGGATACCTTCAATCATGAGGTTGAAATCCTGATCCCCATTTGGCCATGAAGCTCACCAAGTGACTTTGGACCTGTCACTGTCTCCCCAGTGTAGCCAACTCACAGGGCTGTTCAAAGGATAAAATAGTGAGATGGAGAATCAGGTGCACCCCTTGAGCACTTTGAGGGAAGGCTGGGATATAAATGTGATCAATACTAGGGCACAATTCTGTGCTGTGCAATGTTTGTTGAAGTCACTGTTCTGTCCTCATGTCCTGTTTGCAGGGAAGGATAGAAGATCGGGTTGGCTTTTTTCCTGCAAACTTTGTTCAAAGAATACAAGATGAAAACATTTTCAGGTGCATCAGAACGTTTATTGGATGCAAGGAACAGGGACAGATAACACTGAAGGAGAACCAAGTGAGTAAACTGGGAACAACTTCCTGGGCGTAAAACTTTTGTCATGTCTCCATGTTTCTCATGCAGTTAATTCCTGTGACTTGAGACTACATCAAGACTTTAGATTCAGGGCACATCCACTGGAAGATAAAAGGAATCATGAGAGGTCTTCAAAAAGTTTCTGCACTTTTTTAAACTCTACTTCTTAAGAATTTCAAAAACAAATTACATTGCTTGTCTACACAGTCACCTTCCTTTGCAATGCATTTTCCCAGTGTCATATCAACTTTTTAATGCCATCAGCAATATATATATATATTATAATATAGTATAGTATAGTATAGTATAGTATAGTATAGTATAATATAATATAATATAATATAATATAATATAATATAATAGTGCAGAAGACCCCATGTACTACTTCATACAGCACAGAGTCAAACTGTGGCATTTGATACCATAAGATGTAGTAAAGTTGTAGTAAAGTCAATTTCCTTGGTTGGCTTTAAAAAGGGATTAGGCAAATCCATGGAGGTTAACAGGGCTCAGTCCACCATGGCTATTACTCATGATGGCTAATACCTCCAGTAAGGCAATATGACCTCGTATACCAGTTGCTGAGGAAGATGGTTTGGAAGGTGTATTTCCTGCTCATGGGCTTTCCATCAGCATCAAGTTGGCCATGTTGGATTGCACAGACCTCTGAGGCTCTTCTTACACCCTCATGTATGGAATAAAGCTTGCACATTAGGTTCCTCCCTTGATTATGTCAAATGGTAGCCTGTGAAGTGGCCACCCCAGATCAAGCACCACAGAGGAAGTTCTGTTATTATCTCAGACTCAGCAGTTTTCACCACAGACCATCATGGAATCAGCTGATCTAATCAAATCAGCTCCTGGGTAGAGCAAATGGGCTTAAAGTGAGATGTGAGTGACATGGAAAGGATCACAATGACAAACTTCATGGACCTGGTTGGTTGGTTAGTTTCTTATGTTTCCCCTCCAGACCACATTAGTCCAGCTGGTGCCAGGCAGTTAACCCAATTAAGCTGGATCATATTCAGGCAAGGGTTGCTTGTTGCCTCAACTAATTAAAAGAGATGATTAAGAAACATCGCTTTAAGACAGTCCTGCCTGCCAGCGCCGTCACTGCTTTTCAGTTGCAGCAACTGAAAGCGGTTTCCTTATTTATTCACTTATTTGATAGAAATACAGTATAATCTGATTGGATTATGCCATTATTGGATCTGTTGAGCAGAGAGAAATAAAAGGAGAAACAGTTTGCCACTGTGGTGAAATGAAGAGAAAGTCAAAGGCTGCCTTGTACTGGGCCAGCTCATTGATCCTTCTAGTTCAGACCATTTTGTGCAGTTGAATAATTGACATTGATCAATTGCTAAGAATTGCCATGCGTTGTGGTAAATTCAGGAGAGTTAAAAGAAACCATTTAGGAAGCTGTCAAGACAGACTGGGGGTCCATCTGGCTCAGTGTCCTTTCTACCAGGCCCTTTCACCTCCTGCAGCCCCCACCCAGAGCGGTCCCTGTTTCACCACCAAATTTTGTTGTGGTGAAAAAGCCTTTTATTAAAAGGGAGGGAGGGAGGGAGGGGAAAACAATAGAACACTACAAGTGTTGCATTTAGCTTGTTCTGAAGCTAAATTTGACCCTCTTAGCATCTTATAACCACTATTGGGTGCCAAAAGAGTCCAATTTAGCTTTAGAACAAGATAAATACGACCTTTTTAGCCTTCTGTTGCAGTTTGCTGCTGAATTACAGTGATAAACCTCGAATTTCCTCGCTGCATGGCACCTCATATATTGGTTCTCATGGCATGGCCAAAAATGGTAACTTAAACCCACCACATTTTCCCATTCCTGGATTATACCAATTGGCACCAAGATTTCCAGGTCTTTTCCCTGTCACCCCTGGGAAAACCATAAGTTAACATGCAAAACAGATATTCTACCACTAGACTCAATTGCCATGAACTACTCAGAAGAGGGCCAACTTCATATAATGGCAGAATACTGACAAGCTGCATAAGATGGCAAGTTAATATGGAAAAATATTGGAAGGGTTCAGACAACACAACAAGCCATGATAGTTTTTACCATTGTTGGTCTTTCATGTTGTTGGAATCCAATCATGGTGGATTCCAACAACATGGCAAGTTTGGTCTTTAGATAAGTTTGGTCTTTAGAAGCCATGATAAGGAGCAATACTTCGTTCCATGGTTTCTCTGTACCACAATGGCTTATCATGTTGTCTGAACCCAAAATCATGGTTTTTATGGCCCTGGTGTGAAACTACCACAAAGTCCCCTGGAAAGAGCAGCAACTACAGGAGCCACTCCAGCCATCCAGCCTCTATGTGTGGCCTAATGAGGAAAAGCAGCCAGTGTAGGCTGGGAGTGATACAGCTTGGCATTGGACTTCAGGTGCAGTGGCTGATGAGATACGTGCCAACAGTGGGGGGACTGAGCAGGGGGATGGAAGCCATGATAAAGTAGAAAACACTTGACCACCTGTCAGATAGATTATGGTAAAAAAAAAACCCTGCAAACGGTAGTAACCACACAGGCTTGCTGCTTGTGTTGTGTGAACGTGGCCATTGTACACCAACAACACTGCTTATGTCAGCCGGCACATCTTCCACCTGGTAGTTCTCAACTAGCTCCCATGCAACAAATCCAGTTTAGCCACATTACTGCACATTTAGTCACAGTATCAAGCAGTGCTCGCTCGCTCGTGCTTTCTCTCTCTCTCTCTCTCTGATATGTATATCTGGGCATGAGTGGGCCCAATTTTCCCCTGAACAGAAACACCTCCATTGACTAAGTCTGAGGGGTTTTTGTGAGGATTTGAAATAGTTCTTGTATCTCAGACAGAAATATATGCTGCTGATTCTCATAAGAACTCTCCAGTACCCTCTTAATGTATATACAGAGCAGGTTGCAAATTTACAAAGAGCAGTACTCAAAGCAGGAAATGAGCGCTTCTTATGTACAGCATTATATCAACAGGCAATGCATAACATTATTCAGACAAGCAGAGATATTTTAAGTGCCCTTAGGCACACAGGGTTGCCTTGCTCAGGCAGGGAAGCAATTTGTGTTTATCTGGCTCTGCGCCCTTTCATTTTCGTATTGATAAAAACCTTTATAACTGAGTGAGGGCATGAGAGAGATGGAAAAGAGCATGTCTTGCCCACCTGCTTTAGGAAGGACCCAGGGAGAAATCATACAAATGTCTCCTTCAAAAGGTGGAAACAAATAAACGGCACTGTAGGCCTCACAAACATTGCCTTCATAATAGGGGCCATTTCTAGGTTGAATCCCCATAGTGTATTGTTGAGCATATTATGCACTACAGGAATGAAGAGAAAGAAGCTGCTGGGCAGCAGATGTGGGAATGATTCAAGAAGTCATGCAGGGAAAACCTGATTAGCTTGAAGAAAGTCTGCCCAGCTCCTTGGCAGTCTATTTCTGGGTACTTATATGTGCATTATTGCATACGTATGGGAGGAAACGCACGTACACATGCACAGATACAGGCATACACACATGGTATACTTATGGTAGTCTGAAAAAAATGGATATATCATAATGGTTACCTGCTGTGCAATGAATACCTTTACACCAGGTTTGTCGATTGCTGCTTGTTTACTTACTTAATTTGCCTGTACTAATTAAAAATTTGGGATGCTGGCAAAGTTCTCCCAAGCCAGGCTCAGCAGTGAAATTCAAGAGCTCTTAAAAGCCTGCCTTAAATGCAAGGCAAGCTTGTGAATCCTTGGCATTCCTCTCCAAGTCAAATTAACATTTGCACCAGAGAAGAATTCTTGAGGCCTCTTCTCCACTAATGCCCATCCCAAGATGCCATATCAACCAATCCTTTATGCCCCAGCATAGGCGCACTTTTACCTCTTCTTGACCTTACAAGTGGCAAAAGCAGAAGAGCAGTGCGGAAGGAAAGGGCTGGATACCAGGCTTTGCATTCTCTTACTCCTGCTTGATTATTCAGATAAGTTGATGAGCAGCCAGACAAAAGAAGTGAGTGTGGGTCAGAGAGGTCACAGCACCCTCTGCTGACTTTAAAGGGACAGCCTGGCTCCAAGCTTTACCTGGTTGGCTTTTGTTTCATGGTTGGTGAGGATCTGCCATGCCATAAGAGGAGGCAAGGGATCTCTCACAAAGAATTCCCAGCATTCCTGCAGATTCAGAACTGCAGTTTCACAATACTGTGGAAGGATACCATATTTTCATTTCAGACTGCTTTAAATTCTTAATTGACCCAGCAAACCAAGTTGCAAGGTACTCGGGAGTGATCAGAGTGGTTTTACAATAATTGTGTGAGAGGTGCCTTTTTTATCATCGTCCCTCATATTGCTCAAGGAGGTTGAGGATGAAGAACAGTTAAGTTGCTCTAAGCCCTGTTGGGTGCACAGCTGAAGTGTGCAAGCTTGGTCTGGTCCCTGGCCCAGCTTACACCAAATGTAGCCCAATCCTGTGCATGTTTTCTGAGAAGTTGCACTCATTTGAATGGAACCTACTCTGAAGTAACCATGCATATAGGATTTTATTATCACAGGCAGTGGTTCTGAATGAAAACATCACAAATCACTGGGTTATTTATATCACTGAAACCCCAGTGAGGGCTGCTGAATAAATTTGATTTGTGTCCAACGATGATGTAGTCCCATAGCAATAATAAAAAGAAGACTTTGCTAAAGAAACAAATGCAAAAAACTTAATTTAATTTTTTAAACTCTAAGAAGTTAGAATACATGGCGGCAAAGCAGAGCTTTGCAATTCTACTTCACAATTCTTCACAAAACACGTTTTGTTTGCACTCCCAGGAAGGTGGAAAGAAGATAGTGTTTATTAAGACCTTCTTGGGCTACTGTACATGATTGGCTAGTGGCCTTTAGCATGGCAGACCTGCCCTAAGGGATGGCAGTGGACTGAAGACATTCCCATGTTCAGGGAACAGGCAGTACTGAAAGCATTTTTATTTTTAGAATAAAAAAGCAAGAAAAAGTACCTAATATTAGATCATGCTTCCTTTGTGCTGCAATCAATCAGAAATAGCTTATGAACCATACAGTCTTCCTAGACCATTTCTGGACATTTGAACTTAAGTCAGTCTGAGTTATTGATTTTTTTAATGCTAGGTCATTGAGAGGGGCAGGAAGTTGATTTCAAACTCATCCCTCACCTGCACAAAATCCTCTTTATGTGAATTGACCACACCAAGCAGTTACTTTTCTGTGTGAGCTGATTCCAATTTGATATAGCAAGCTGCAAATGCCTGATAGCAGCCACCTCTCCAGCAGTTTTCTGTCCTTTGTGCCAATAGTCGATTAAAGCTAATGCCATGTGACGGAGTCAAAATACAGAGGCTCACACATGAGTTTCTCTCACACAAAAGTAACGGCATTAACAAGCAAAAACGAAAGAAAAATCCGAAGGAATGAGCTCTGCTTTTTCTCCCTCTTATGCCACCCATGGGACAAGGGGTGTAGACATTCTGCCTGATTGCATATTTTGGTATGAGCTAAACTAAAAATCTCAGCTTTCTTTTATGCCTCTCCACGCCCATCCCTTATCATGAAAATTGTATTTATCCCATGAGCCTCCCTAAAGCTGATCATATAGTTCAGTCGTGATGGCTTTGGATTCTCTGGAGAACAGTATAGAAAAACACACCAATTATTGAGGTCCTGAGTCTGAAGGTTTTATCAATGGGCCCATCTCACCAAGAAGGTTCCAATAAACACCTCAAAGTGAATTGAACAAGCATATGCCCAACTGCCTTTAATTTCTGTGGCACCTGTATAAGAGAAGTGTCCCACTTATAGAAATTATTTATTATTTGTTTTATTTATTAGATTTATATCCCTCCCTTTTCTTTTTTAAAGAACTCAAAGCAGCTTACATCATTCTCTGCTTCCTGCTCTCAATCTTATCCCCACAACAACAACCTTGTGAGTAGGCTGGGCTAAGAGTCTGTGACTGGCCTAAAGTCACCCAGGTGGCTCCATGGCTAAGTGAGATTGAAGGTTAAATTGATGGTTATATTGACATAAACAGGAAAAAGTGAAATGCTCTTAATCACTTTTAAAGCATCAATGAAATTTTAAAGTTCAGCTGTTTAGAAGATGTACAACTAAGACTGAAGTGCTCATGAAAATTCCAGGGGGCACTTGGAGGAGGTTGTGGGGCATGATGTCCCTCAAACTACCACCATCTCATGTACCTTGATTTAATTTCTCCTGCAGCCGTGGATAAATTTCACAGCCACAGTGCTCTGTGTCTTGGCTGTTTTGCAGCCTATCATTGGAAGGATGAGAGTTACCCAGTCATCAGGGGAGCCCTCCCCTTATTTTCTGATACTGTGGTACAAGTATCTGTAGACATTCTGTAGGGAATGGGGTACAAAAGCTTTTAATTAATTAATACAAGCAAGAAGATAAAAAGGATTTCTCCTTTGCCTACAAACACTGTGATGCTGGGGAATAGGGGATCTCCACATTGTCCATCTTCATAGCTTTCCCCATATCCTACTCCGAACTATCAAGGAAAGTAGGGTCCAACCTCAAAGCCTCCAAAAAAGGAAAAAAGAAGCTTGGGGGTCTTTCTCACACAGTCCTGCATACAAACAAGAAGGATCACCCATCTAGCTAGTATTTGGATTCCACCATAACAGTGGCTCTTGAGTGTGCAAAACTGTAAACTTCTCTCTGTTCTTTATGTTCAGATCTGTATATCTTCAGAAAAGGAACACAACGGCTTTATCAAAGTATACAGTGGGAAGAAGAGGGGCCTGGTCCCCATTGATGTCTTAGAAAACTTCTGATTTGCATCTGCTCAACCACTGCAGTAGCAAAGCTTTGCCAGCGAGACCTGTCTGCCTCAACTTGCACTGTGTCAACCCAAATAAAACTGTCTTGCAGATGACCAGGGAATCATGAGACAACCACTACGATCAATCAATTTGGACATTAAAGCTGCTCAAGAGCAACATGAGATGGTTGATCAATAAAACTATACAGTCAGAAAAGGAGCCAACAAGGGTGGTAAGAGTGTTAAGGGAGGGATGTGTGTGTGTGTGTTGTTCTTTTTTTAAAGATAGTTAAGAAGTTAAATTGGAGGGTTTTTCTGAGTAAGGCTGCTAACCATTACTCTGAAGGAAAGAAGCAACTAATCTCAAAGATTAGATGTGCACGCTGTTTGTGTGTCTTAAGAAAATTGGAACTTTTTTCTTGTTTGAAGTGTGATTGAATGGGCAAGAGTTTGGAATTTTTGCCCTGTACTACTATGGTTTGAGTTTTGAAATAGATAATGTGAGTCTGGTCCTAAAATGTTGTCCATGCTGTTAGGCAATCAGCATTATGTTTGAATCTGATTTTTAAAGTTTTATAACAAAGCAGTTCATTTGAAGTCTGCAGACATCCATTTGGGAAACGTATTGTGTCTTGGACTTATTTTTCTGTGATTTTTAACCTATGTTTTTGTGGCAAGCTTGTACATCTTGGGTTCCTTGTGTACAAGCAAAGATTTTAGCATGGATGTAAATGCTGTTAATGCAGCCAATGAATAAACATTATTTCTCCAGTGCAGGCCTAGGCACAAGAAGTTGCCTGATTCCTCCCCAAAAATGAAAAATACCAGAAGTAAGGAGCTGGGTTGCAGACATGGCAAAGAAATTTTCTATTTTTCGTATATCATTTGAGCATATTTTATATATATGCATGAACCTGTTTATATGGGTAACAAATTCCATTTCACAATTTTTTAAGAGAGAGATTTCTGTTGATGAAAAACAGTGACTGGAAGAAAAACGTATTGAGGTAGCATACTTGTGAGCAAATGCAACAAGCGTCGTAAGATGATCCACCTACAGGCACTTACTGGCCACAGTCTAACACAGAGAGAGTCACACAGAGGCCCAGTGACCTCTGTAGTCTTACGTCATTTGAATTATGGCCACTGATGGAAACTGCAGCTATAAAGCCAGAATTTCACCCACTGTTTGGAATTCTGCTTTGACACCAAGCTGAGCAACCCTCTCCTGATTCCAGTAAAACCTGGAGGTCAGCTTCTCATTCTTTCTAGGTAATGGGGACAGCAGATCAGAACTGCCTGGCCTAAAAGCTTATTAGGAACATCACAATTCAAAGACTTAAATAGCACCAAGTAGTCCTTCTGCCCCTGGATGCTGACATTTTAAAGAATTATAACCTGCTCATTTCAGTAATAAGTTAACCAGCAATGTTCTTTTAGAAACCATACCAGCATATTTAAAACGCAAAGATTACTGTAAGGATATAACAATGCAGGAAGAAAAAGAGGGTGAAGGGAGTTACTAGGAATTGGGAGGAGAATAAACAATGGCTCTTTTCAATTAATGGATTGACCTTATCCCCACATATAATAGCTCAATAGAAAATCAATGGCTCTTAGAGCAGTGCAGCTCTTTGGCTTCCCACAGAAATAAAATGTGACCATTTTATTGCATTAACCAGTCTGAGAAATTTGGAGCTGACTGCCCCAAGCAGATAGCATGCTGCCAGTGCAGCTCTTTGGCCTTCACCTCTTGCCTTGCACTCCAGTCTGTGGCTGACTCAGTCCCAGGGTGCATTTGCCACCAGAGATGCTGCAGTTGGCGGGTTCAAGCCCACACTTTGTATTTAGCCAAGGGCTGCTATGTCTAGCACATACTCCATCTTCGGATTTTGAACCCATAGTTACATTTGCTGTCATGAAAATGCAGAACGTATGCATGCTCCGTCAGAGCCGTGAAAGCTATGTGTGGGCTTACACATACCCCCGATTAGCTTGAAGGACTTGGCTTCTCCTTGGTTACTCTATGGAGTGGAACTGAAGACTACTGACAACCATTCCATCAGTTTTCTAACTGTTGCATATATAAATAAATTCACCCCTAAACAGAAACACAACAATAAAGCTTCATATCTTAAACCATGGGAATGCTAGAAATCTTTTATTATATAGCTTTTTTCCAATATAAATGTATTTTAAAACAGTTTTCCATGTCAGCTCATTTTGCAAAGGAAATCAGACAATTGAGAATTGGAAAGGAGCGGGTCTTTATGACAAAAGGGGGAGAACAGCAAAAGCATTACCTGCTTTATGCCATTGCTTTGACATTCACTGATCTGAGGGGAGGGATCTTGGGATGCCTGTTGAAAAATTAAAATCAGTACTTATGGTTACTGTCTTTTGTTCTGCAAAGACTAGATAAAACCATCCATCCATATGTGCTACTGTTTACTTGAATGCAACATACTGTGATTCTTGTCTCTTTCAATTGCTTGATACTTCAATTTCTCTTTCAGTCCTGCCTCATGGGATAAAAATGAATATTAATTTCAATCCACAATGGCCTTTAATCAATGTCTCATTTCTTTTGATACTAAGCAATAAACAATAAAGTGATTTTTAACAGACTCCCTAAGTTAATTGTTACACTCCTCTAAATCAATTCAAACAGACTAATGTTTTTATATTTTCTATTTCCATCTTCTCTCTCTCTTTCTCTCTCAATCTCTCTCACACCCACATCCCTCAAAGAGCCTTGAATTGGCACTCATGTTTAATATACCTGAATCATATTTATTTCTCCTGTTCAATTATGGCGGCATTACAGCCCATTCACAAGTATATCATATTAACCCCCTTTTCAGTCACCGCAAAGTGGGTGTCGCCCTGCTTATCTTCAGGCAGGAAAATGAGAGAAAACAGCATAGAAAGATATGCTTAAATCTGGGGGAACCTTTGCCCTCACAAGCAGGCAGTACTTGTGGAGAGGTGTCATTTGTGCAAGTCAAGGCCTCCCACCTGCAGTCCAGGTGTGTGACTTCCCCAAAATCTACTATGGCACTGACATTCTTTGGCAACATTGTGAAAATTGTGGCAACTGTATGGAAAACATTTAATCAGATGTAACCACAGAAAACATGTCTTCTGAGAGAGCTTCCAAGATTAGTCTTGTTCCCATACCAGAAAGAGATATGATTCACATATTCTTTTTTCCAAATAATCGCCCCTTCTGGGGTGAGGACAAGTGGCAGCTGTCATTCTTCCCATAATATTTTACGATGTTGCCATGTTCTAAGACATTGTGGAGGAGTTAAAAGTTTTTATTTGCCATTTTTCCTATGCTGTGCCTTAACCCAAAAGTTGTTTCCAGGATGTTGGTATACCTTTTTTAAAAATGAATTCAATATTGAAACATTAAATTGTTGGCAGGCTGTCAAAAGCAACTGTCCAACAGTGCTTGTTGCCATCATTGCAAGCAGAAGGAGCCGTACCAAGAAAAAAAGAAGAGAGGTAAAAGTGATTCTACAGACACCGCTAATCTGAGCATTAGTGGGAACTTATTGGAGAATTTCTTCCCCCTATAAAAGGAGTAGAAAACACGGAGAGAGCATGATTTGCACACATATCTGGTTACAAACCCAGCACTGGCCTCACACCTCCTTGGGAGGCTGGCTGTGCCTAGAGTCCAGCCACCCTGTGTACACCCAGGGAAATCACATACGTAGGTGCTGCCATGTGCACAAATTGGTCTTCTGTAACATTGTAAATTAAGTGTTCCTCCGAGGCTCCTGTGCTCTGATGTACATACCTCCAAATGGGTGAAGCACAAGCAAACTGATTAACTTTGAACGGACTAGCTTTTATCAGATGCCAACTCTCAGGGTAATTTAATTTTAGGAGTGAGAGACTCACATCTAATTAGATACTCTCTTTAATAAAGAACATGCAGTCATTGGAAAGAGTCGAAGAACATTTGTTTTACCCTCTTCATCACCTGTGTCTTCCTAAGACCAGAGTTGTACCTTGAACAGCCCTGTTGTAGTCTTCTCTGAAGAAAAGACAAGCTATGTTTTACTTCCAAGGCTGGGGTTTTCGCCATGAAAATGCACACTAAACATTCTGGTTCTTTGGCATTAATCCATAACATGATTGGGCCCAGCTGCTTCATTTATATGGATCCGAAGACCATGTGTATATACAGTGTAACTGCACTTCTACCTTGGTGCTTCATGACCTACCCATGGTAAAGAACTATACAATTCACAACTCTTGAAAGGATCATTAATTGCTGCTGAAAGTTGCAACACCTTTTCCAAAGAAGCCAACCCCAAAAGCTCCTTGAAAATGTTGTATTTAGTGATATCATCCAAAGGAGATTTCATGATATGCTTCCTAATTGACATCTGCTCCCTGATGCAAAAGGGATGTTAGTCAATGCAACAATTATAGCCATATGTTACCCTTGCTTTGTTTCAGACCAGCTCTGGATTGTGGTGTAAAGTGGAAAATAAGCACAATCCCAAGTGGAAGAGAGTGACACATAGGGGATCTTACTGATAGGAAAGGGCACCCAGCATCCACCTTCCCACTAGCCCTCAGTGGGAGGGCTTTCAGGAGTGAAAGTGACCTCTCCCAAAGCCTGCCGGTTGTGTGGGCAAGCCCATAAGTCACAAAGGACATAATTCTATGCATACTTGGAAAAAAGTCTCCTGGGAATTGATGGGACTTGTAGGACTTTTTCTGTTTAAGCATGTATAGAGTTATGCCCTAAATATTGCTATTTTCTAGTCACTCTTTTTGTACACATAATTAAGTCAAAGGGACAGATTATTTTGATGCTATTATGGCTATTCAAATATTTTCGAAATCTCATATGCTAAATTAAACTACTCCATACACCCAGCAAAAGGAGAAAACTGTGAAACTTGAAAAAAAACATTTATAGGATTATTTCCATAAAAATCCCTTTTACATTTTCATGCAACCTCGGTATTAAAACATTGTTAGCACAAGCCAGGAAACACATTTAACACCTACTATGTTTACAGTCATAAACTATTAAAATGCATCAAGGTATTTTTAAAAACCCTAGGCAAATAATCATTTCCTAAGTGGAATGTACTTTCAGCAAATTCTCTGTGCCTAAGTGCAAAAATAAATCACCCCGTAAGATGCAGCCCATTGTTAGTTTAAATCCATTTATGCACATTGACAAACAGCAACTGTTAAAGCAAGTATCTGAACAGATTTTGCTCTGGAGCACTGCAGAGGTGGAATAAGAGGTGATCAGAGATGTTTTTCATCATGCAACTGTCAAAGTGAGCCTATGCATGTTTACCTCAAATCTATTCCCAGGTAAGTAGTAGTCCTACATTTCTGACCAAGGCAGGCAACCTATATTGTGAAGGGCCACAATTCCCAAAAGCACAAACCAGTAGAGCCACTGGGCATGCTAGGATTTGTAGGCCAAGCATCTGGCGTGCATAACTCGCCTACTCCTCTTTTAGACAATGCAATCATAGGCATGCCTACTCAGAAGTAAATCCCACTGTGTTCAATGTGATCTGCTCCCTAGTTAGTGCACCTGGGACTGCAGGGTACTGATGCTATCCTAGTCAGTTCCCATTGAGTTCAATCTCTCTTAACTTACCTGGAAGCAGCCCCCACTGAATGCATTAAGACTTTCCCCTAAGAAGACATGTTTTTTGTTTTTGTTTTTAAGGAAAGAAAATGATGCATTGTAAATAATTTTAAAGCAGGGGAAAGAAATCTGAACTGTAGCTCACATCAACCCCAGCCATTGTTCATGCTAGCTGGAGTGATGGGAATTAGAATCAAAAAAAATATGCCAGGGCCTCAGGTTCCCCACCCTTGCTTTGAAAAAAATGGGTTTATTCTCTCTAAGCATGCCTAGGCTTGTGTGTGCCCTTGGCATTGTAAACATAGCATATCTTACACCACCCTAAGTGGCTTGTGCCATGGTTTTTGTTTGGTCACTCGTTGCCTAATGGTATGTGCATCCACTGATTGTTGGCTCTGCCCTTAATCATATAACATTGATGTATAGCGATGCGATGCAATGCGCAGGCACTTTAAAGATCTGGGACAAAAAGCAAGAGCAAATGAGGGTGAAAAGACCATTAATGCCCAGGGTTTTTTTTACAAACCAGAGCTAAAAGCTAAACAATACATACTGAGAGGAAAAGGATTCGGGGAAGGCAAATACACAATGCTCTCTGTACCACTCAAGAAACCAACAGGGAAAAGCAAAATCTAAACTGTTCCATGATGACATTCGGTACATTTAATTGCATGCCCCAGTAGGAAAAGTCCCCATTTCCCACCCGCTTGCTGCCAAAGGCTATCCCAATTGTGAATGTTCATCTAGGTCACAAGGCACAGAATGCCTCTGTGTATTTGATGCATGCGCTATTGGGATGTCCTGGCCAGATCGTAAGATCCTTAGAATGTTCTTTCTGCTGACCTTGTAAAGCAGCTTCAGTAACCATAAAATGCCCTTGGGGTGGAGGAGAAGAGACTTTCTCGAGTGTGACTAAAAGTGCATCCAGTAAATTTGGAATATGGGGGAGGGGGGAGAACCAGGGTCCTGCAGCAAAAAGTTGCCTTGTAGAGTGCTGCTGCTCAGGATGCCAGCCAGATCCTTTCTCAGATTGCCCCATTCCTGCTCTTATAGCTACCCAGTTTTCAGGGGCTCAGTCTGTGCTCTGCAGCCAATGGGAATGCTCAGTCCTCTCCAGGCAATGTCAGACTCCCCTCCTTAGGATCCACCCCTTAAATATTTTTCTGGACTTCAGGAAGTTCATTTAACTACTGGTATCATCTCCTCTTGTTGCAGCGGTAGTGCCATTTTGGTTACATAAAGATCCACACTCAGAAAATGAGTTCTCTAGGCAACCTCGCACCTTCCAAATGTTTTGGACTACATCTGGGGCCTTCCTGCAACTACCGCTTCTGAAGGAGGCTTGGTTGGCAGCAACAAAGAGAACGGCCTTTTCAGTGGTGGCCCCCAGCTATGAAACAAGCTCCCCACTGAGGTGTCCCTGCACCAACCTGAATATCATTTCAGTGCCACGTTAGGACTGTCCTCTACCACAGAGTATTTAATGGGTTTAATGCTATATTGAGATTTATGTCAGCTGCTTAAACAGGTCTTTAGATTCAATTTGTATAAACTACTGTAAGTTTTTAAATTTTGTTTTAAATTTGGCATTTAAATTTGTATTGCAATTTTATGATGTTTTATTTTTATTTGTATTTTATATTATACTTTATTTATTTATTTATTTATTAAAACATTTTTATGCCGCCCCATTCGCCGAAGCCTCGGGGCAGCTTACAACAATAAATTAAAATAACATTTTAAAATATATACATTAAAATACAAATATACGATATAAAACATACAATATAAAACATACAATATAAAACAAGCTGCCCTGGCCAGATAAAATTCAATAATATTAACATTTAAAATACTGCTTAAATAAAAAGGTCTTCTCCTGGCGCTGAAAAACAAATAACGACGGCGCCAGGCGGACCTCTCTGGGGAGCGCATTCCATAACTTGGGCGCCACCGCTGAGAAAGCCCTCCTCCGAGTAACCACCC